TTATAATAATGTTGTGCTCCCGACGTGTGCAATTGTTGATGTTGTTAAACGAAGAAAAAAGTGCAACGAAGTCAATTATTGATTTGCCATTACGTCACCTTAATTTAATTCTACAATAAAGTTAAAACTTACGCGCAAAGCTTTCTCTTTCTTTCTTACGGATGTATGGACAAAACATATTGGAGGGCACTTGATAATAATGAGTTTTTATAAAAGTAGTGAATTCTCTGTATTAATTCGTAAAATAAGTTAATATATATTCAGATAGTTTTTTGTTTTTTATTTATTTTTTTTTTTGTTTATTTCGATTAGTCGTGCCGTGCGACATGTTAGGCGAATCGAATAACGAAGAAATATATAAGATTTTATAAACGGAAAAGCAATTAGTGTCTTGAATCGAATAAGCGGTAATTCTTCGCCTTAAGATTACACCTCAGTATTGTAAAAATAAAAAAAAAATAGAAATACTTGTTCTAAAACTTTTTTTTTTAAAAAAAAAAAAAAAAAAAAAAAAAAAAACTTTTACTTATGCCCATTGTTTACATTTTTACATTTTACATCGAGCACGCAGGATATTATGTATTTATTCGAAATTTTAGTGACCAGGCAGTATATACTTATGTGAACATTTGCATGTATTTGCATTTGCAAAGCGACAATGAAATTAAATGAAATATACAGCCATGAGATTTTTTATGATATATATTATAATTGTATTGTTATTATTAGCCTTTTTCATTGAATTTTGAATACAAACGGTAACTATAATTAAATCTTTAATTACGATGTATGAAATTAGTTAGCATAAGGCACTTTGTGTGCAAATTATGTTAACATATAGCTGTCATCGTTCGCTCCGAGAAATTATAAATATTGAAAAATGTACGCAATTATATTTATAAGAGTTTATTGAAGTGTCATTATATTTAAATTTAAAAAAAAAAATAAATCAATAATAATGAAAAAATATGAAAATTATTTGCCAAAACGATTAATTATTATTATTAGACTTTTAGAGAAAAATTAATAAGTGACAATATTAATGAAGGTATATTCTGTTTTGTTTTAAAATCAATTGTTATTGATTTTGCAAATGAATTCGAATAGTTAATCGATTATAAAAATGATAAGAGTTGAAATATATTTTTGATGTCATTAGTGTGCATTGAATGTTGGGTAGTTGTACGATCTCATAAAATAATAATAATACTTTTAAATCGATGTAAGAGAAATCAATTCTGCGTTTTTTTTTATTATTTCAATTATTTTTGTATAATCAGTTCTGATACATCGTTATAATTCTTGAAAACGTGATTACAAGGTGTTACAAATTATTTTCTAACATTTTCGTTTCCATTGTTGCAAACCGATGGCGAAATATTTCGATAAATATCCCCTATTACATATATATATATATATATATCCTTTTTTCAGAACGTGTCAAACATTTTCTGTTTATTTAAATGTACCAATCAATATTTTAGTCGTAAAATTACATAAAATCTATAATCCCTTTTTTTATTTTAAACAGTAAATGCAAATTGACCCAATTGACTATGTTTCCTTCCTGTACGTTTATTATCTCTTTGATAAAATCTCATATCTCGGACATAAATATTAGTCTTTTGAAAAATAAAAAAATGAGAATATAAACGGTGAAGTTATCGGTTTGTCATTTTACGGGTGAAATATTTGTTTATAAAAACAATCGATAACGGCGTTGTTGAATATTTCTCTTTTAAATAAATATATCGCAAACAATGCACAAGTATTATAAATAAGTTCTTTCATTTTCCATCGCTTTCGGCATAATTTTTAATAAAGCACTATTATGATCTACATGTTCCGAAGACGAATGGAAATGCAAAATATTATTATTAAATTGTTGGAGAGGGGTGGGGGCGGGACGGGGGGAATTGAAATATTCGGTGCATATAACGGTAAATTCATTCAATTCGTCGTCCGTAAATCTTAAAGAGAAGTGAGAAAATCATTGAGTTGACTCGCAACATCGTGACAATAAAAAATAGAATGATTCTTACATACATACTTAGTTCTTTTTTCATTTATGATTTATACGCGATTTTATCCTGACAGACGCAAATTATAATTATTACAATAATTACATGATAGTGTAGTTTTTACAGTGAATCATAAATTATTATTTTTATATAAATATTTTTGTAACAGTATATTCGCCGATACTTAAGTGTACAGTAGTTAGATATACACTATATAGCAATAAGAGATCTAAAATCAAATGAAAGTTCAATTTTCATTACGTTTCTTATAAATCAAGTTTTTTTTTAACGGCAATTCAAATAACGATTAAGGCCCAAGAACGCACTCCTGCTAAAAAATATATTAGCATTTATGTTTATGTGAAATTTTGATTATAATCGTATCAATTTCAATTCAATATTGAATTAAGATAAAACTACTAATACGTGTAATGCAAGAACGGAAATATTTTTTGAAATTTTAACAATTGATTAGAGACACACGCCGACAGCGCTTTATATTGTACTTTGCTTTTGATTTTAGAACCCTTGTATATTAACAATGACGGAAAATAGATCAAAGCACCCACCTAACTAGATAAGTACTTTAGTAACATGTATTTTGAATGTCTTCAGGTTGAATTCGAAATATATACATATATATATATATATATATATATATATATATATATATATATATATATATATATATATATATTATATACCCAATGATAATTCTAGTATATCTTTTCTTTATCATTCATTCTTTTGCCTTTGATGTTTAGGTTTAGCAATGTTGCTGGCCGATACATTCTCATATAATAACATCGTTCACTTTCTACAAATTCTTCAAAAGCCATTTTCTTATCATGTATCTTTTAATTTTTTAATTTTTATAAGCAATTTTCTATTGTGCCGATATTGCATGCTTGTTCTATACGAATATATAATTATGGAATTTGCACAATATTGTTTAATCCACTAGAACAAACAGTACGGTTTCGCACTTTTGAACATTCAAAAATGGTTTAAAAAAAAAAAAGTTATAACAGACTGTTCGTACGAACACCCCAATGCTTATTATGCCAAAGACACATAAGTGGAAAAAAAGTCTATAAAGCAGTATGTGTTACGGCACGTTTTCGATAAGGAAATTAAAAAAAAATATGATAACTTAAATATATTATTGGACACAGGTATAGCGGTAATTATATTACCAATAAACTACAATGATTTTTTTATTGCATTGATTATAATGTTGATAAATGAATCTAGTTAAAAAAAATTCTTATCCAAGTAGTACATCGATCGTACAATGGAAATATATATTAAAAGTATCTGCGTCCAATATAAAATCTATTTATATAATGTTGATTTAGATTTCTTTTTCTCACTAAAAGTTGTAAATAATAAAAAATGATTATGCATTTTATCACTTGTATTTTTCTTTTAGCGTCTGCGTAGAAGAAAAAGAAAAAAAAACGTATATTATAGTGGTAAAACTCTAGATAATTAAAGTTAAATCTCTCTCTCTCTCTCTCTCTCTCTCTCTTTCTCTCTTATGTCATGTATTGTCAGCGTATAAGCTTTTGATAAACATTGCACAATGAAAACTATGTAATACAATTCTATAAAATGTTCGACGTGTGATATGATCACAAATTTTGACTGGCGTTACGACACGTCGCTCTATCGTAAAGTGAGTTCTGTTTGCTCTTTAATGATTTGTTTCTCGTTAGTACAAATAATCCATGATTTCTTACGCGATAGTCTATCTGTTTCTATCTCGAAAAAAAATGTGTGTAAACATACACGCACACGCACACGCACACACACACACACACACACACAAACAACAACAACAACAACAACGTCTGTTTTGTTATTTCTTTTTAATCTTTTATTGGCGGCGCTTAAATACATTGTTGGCCACCACAGACTATTTTTTATACCTTAGGTCCAAGGTCGATTGATTTGAATTTATTGCTAAGTAATTTGACTGGGATCCTTTCTTATTTCTTCATTTTTTATATTCGCATACATACACATATACGTCTGCTGTGCGTGCGTGGGCGCGCGCGCGCATACGTGCCTATTTATGTATATATTCGTTTCTCAATAATCATTTTTCGTTCTTATAAAGAGCACATACGAAAGAAAATAAAAAATAAATTATTCCAAATGAGGAGGCAGTAATGATAATTATATCGTTAATGCTCGCTCCCATCGTTATTTCACGTAATATAAATATATAACTTATATACATTGATCGTCGTGTCACGTAATGAACAATTAAACTCATTCCTTATAATTAATATACTTTACACTCGAGCGCCAAACAAATATTAAAACCAATCATTGCAATCACTTGCATTAGCTAAAGCTCGGGAATTGAACATTTGTATACTTTAAATAATACTATTTGAATTAAACACCAAAACTTCATACAACTCTACGACGCAATTCGTTTAATATTTTACACTTATAATAATGCATTAAATAATAATATACTAAGAAGTAGAGAAAAATAATTCCCAAGGTAATCGACGATATAATATAATATATAGTTTCTAACGCACACCTTTTTACATTATATCTTTCTCTCTTCTTCATATTGGTAATAATGTATATAATAGTTAGTGAACAGAAGTGAGATGAAAAAATTTACATAAACCGTCTTATCGCCTTTAAAGCGAAACCAGTCTCTAAATTATTTTATTGTTTGTTGTTAAAAGGTTATAGAAAAAACGGCAGACTCAAAAATCCTTCGGACAAATGCGCCCGTACATAATATATATATATATATATATATATATATATATATATATATATTGCATTCCCATCAACATTAAGGAACGCGTTGTTTGTTTGTTAGTTTATTCACAAATATGCGATTGTGTGCACGTGGGTGGATGAGTTTATGTTTCATATTAAATGGAATATAAGTTTAGATATATATATATATATATATATATATATATATATATATATATGTATATACTATACACGGACAATATAGTAAAATTTTTATTAAACTTGCAATTACAATTGCATCATCTTGCTCCTCTCTTCATCTTTCTTCGCTCATTCCTTATCCATTCGTATAATAAAAAATATGTATCAAGACTGTACATATAAGGTCAAAAAATTCTTATGGTAACTTTTCGGGTAAAAGGTCGTGTATATAACGCAATATATAAATCATCCTTTCAGAAAACGTTACCAGTGTTATATACCGCTCCTCTCCGTAATCGTCCGAAAGTTCGCTATTATTTAATTATTCATTGTGAGACGTAAGTGGTTGTTCTTATTTTCAATCGGGCGGCCAACGTAAAAGTATTGGGCCTTAGGCCGGTAACGGTGTTCCCTTTTTGCCGCAGTCTTAGGAGTCATAAGACGAAGATCCGTGGTCGTGCGCAGGACTCGGCGGTGTCGATGGATTCGAACTATTATTCGAGGCTATGGAGTGTCGTGGGCTACTTCCAGATACGTGCTCCTGTTGATTCAATGTTTACTCATTATAATTTACCATTTACAAATAGTCAGCTGCTTAATCCAATCAAATTGCTATTCAAATGCATTTTTTTTAACTTTTTTTTTTTTTTTTTTTTTTTTTTTTATAATTTTCTTTATTTAATGAACTTTACATATTTTTAATCTGAATGTAGGTGATTATTTAGCTTGTTGTACGAATAACTTGCTTCTTGTCTTATTAATAAATGAAAAATTGTCACGTTATTAATTCATTCGAATTTTCAGAAATTAAATACGTGCTATGCAAAATACTTAAAAATCTCCGTTTTCTGTAATTAAAAAAAGTGAATTATCAAATTTTCATTTCTAAACCTTATTTTCATGTTAGTTTTTCATAATCTAAAAAACAGTATTACAAGATCGGGCCAACGATGCGTTAAATTCATCATAATAACGTGTCACCCCAGCATTGACAATTGCAATTGTGTTAATTTTCAAAATATCCGTTTTCTCCTTTGCCTTATTTTATGCATTTAGCGTCGATTAATCTCTCGTTCGTTAATTAGCTATAAAAATGTGATTTATCCAGATAAGTGTGACCTAACAAACGACAGTATGATTACCGATTTCAGCATCGTGAAAATAACAAAAAATAAGTCACGATAATAACCGACTTAATAATAAAAATAAGTATTTTCAAGTAAATTAAACGCTCTAGTTAATTAATCTACTATGGTATTCGTTAAATGACACTTATTTTTATTTATGCAATCAAACACATCATCAAGATTTGCAAATATGTAATGTAGGCTTTTGTAAGATTCTTATTTTTTCTCAAGTAGTCGTTCAAGTATTAACATTTCATCGTTTCTCCATCTTATTATTTCGGAATCCCAATGAGCTCTTCAACATAGGAGATGGATTTGGCTAATAAAATGTTAGATAAAATCTTTTAATAAACAATGTGTTAGAATATTTATGTAAACAATGCAAATATTGTTTCTGTATGCTAAAAATCGGTTCACAATTACTACATTCCATTATTTACGTTTAAGTTCATTATTTTGCACAGTAACGGCCATATTTTATATCAAACCAGTACTAGTGTCGTTATATTGTACTTTTTTAATAATAAAATTATTCTTAACTTATGAATAACTACAATCTTATTATATTATGAAATTTCCTAATGATCCATCTTCAACATTACCCTCCGCAGACTATATTTTATTATTGTCTCTGTCTTCTTTAACTTCACGACTTTTCAATAATTTATCAAAATTATTACCTCAACTATTAGTTAAATTATTTGCTTGAATGATTAAGTCCAAGTTTTCGCGTAGTAACAAATTCAACTACGCTTTCCAACTTTCTTCCAATTAATTTTACACACGTGCAAATACCTTATGCTCTATATACATAAACTTTACAAAACTTTTAATAATTTTATAATTAATTTTTTTCCAATAATTATTGTTTGATTCGATAATTATCTGCTTTCATATCGTTTGCTCGATCAATATTTCTATTTCAGAACAAGTTCTGCGATTATTTAGAATTTATTTAGAAATTTTACAATTTCAATTAAACCTCGCACACTGTTCACGAAAATTTATCTAATACAAAATTTATTTATTGTATTATATGTAACGAAGTATTGACTAAAATTGCTAAATTTAAATTAACAAACGTAAACATTTTAGCGTTTAAAACTGATGTTACCTTATCTTGTAACGAAGCAATGCTCCCAAGAGAATGAGGTGTATGCGATCGTAAATGTAATGATTCCGAATCAACTTGGTCAACTGGAGTACGTGGCAGTGATGGTGGAGTAGCGGTTGGTCTTGGCGGTGCCGGTCCTCTTCTAGAAGATGTTGAACCTAATAAAGAAATAAAAAAAAATAAAAAAATACGCGCTTGACGATTCACTCATTTATTGATTAGACTGACGAGTGCAAAGGATATTAAAATTTTCCAATTAAAATGCAATAATTAAACTAACACAAAATATATAATACTTTTACCGTTATGTGGTGAGAATCCAGAATTTCTAGTCATATGTGAACTCAGTCGTCTTGTATCCGAAGGTGGATGTCTAGGTGGCAGTGGTGCTGGCTTATTTGGTGGTTGTACCGCCGAACCATAAACCTAGACAATCAAATGTGAAACGTTTAAATGTCAAATAAAGTAAGATTTAACGGCAGTATAAGAACATTTTACGCTTTTTTTTTTTTTTTTTTTTTTTTTTTTTTAATGTTTTTTTTTCTTTTTTTTTTTTTTTTTTTTTTTTTTTTTTCAAATGCTACTTACTCGTTGTTGATTACTATGAAAGTGTGAACTAGCATATGACCCTGAGAATTGTTGATCAGCCGTTTCTAAAGTTGTTGGTAAATCCAACAATCTTTGAATCTAATAAAAATAAAAATATAAAAAAGAAAATAATAGCATTAATGATTAAGCTTATTTAAATACTGAATAAATAATTAATTTTGACGATAGAATGTCGAGCGTTCGATAAAGTCTCATAATATTAAAAATTGTTCATTATTTATATTAATACGTTGTAATAGAATATAACAATATATAGTTGGAAAAGTTTTGAAAATATGATTAATTATTTGTTCCTCGAAATGAATTTGAATACCCATAAAAGGTAGTACGAAGTTGACAATGCGTTAATTACATTCGCATGAATAAATAAACACGCACGCGTACGTATGGATATTGGAAACGTAATTTATTATTAAAAATCAACAGAAATGAAATGAATTGAAAATACGGCCTTGTTATATATAAATATATAATTAAAGTATACATACTTGAATACCATTTCCAGGCCCCATATGAGTTATATGATTAAAGTTCGTTGGCGCTGATATCATTTTCGAGCGACGATCGGTTGGACGCGCGGCTCGATTACCCTCGCGTAGTGAAAATCTTCTTCGCGGTCTAGCCATAGGCCTGCCACTTGCATCTATCGTTGCCAGATTTAACAATTCGCCTTTAATGTATAATTTTACAAGATCAATTTTACTGGCAATGTGTATTGTGAAAATTCGTTGATGTTAAAGAAACGATCATTACAAAATAAAAGCGATTACAATGTGGATGTTCCATTGATATTGAATATAATTATTGGAAATTTTTGATGCTCGGATATTGTAATGACATATTTATTACAACGTCAGGCGAATTATCATTTAAATATCCTTAATTTCATCGTGAATTATGTTGAACGATAGGATTAAATCCATATTACAGTTTATAATTATTTTGTGCCAACGATATGTTGTATCGTATCGGATATGATATAATATTATATGATCATAATATACTTACGTTGGTGTAAATTACTCAGATATATAACATGTGGCATGTCGTTGATTATACACGTGGTAAGCGAACCCGATGTATTTAAGGGTTTGGCTTTCTTGACGTTTAGCGTTTGCAACCAATCGCCCGCTTGACAATCGAACACATCGATGTGCGTATCACTGTAAACCAAAAGATAGCCTTCGCAATAACCTAAAAGGACATTGCCACATTACCAATAATGCTCGTTGTTTTCATGAAAATATAATTATTCTCTCATAAAAGGTGAAACGAGGATAAAAATAAATCCAATGTTCAATTCAACTCACTAACTGCCGTTGGATAAGCCGTGTACATGATCTCTCTGTCTCGACTTTTTCTTCCCTGACTGTCAACATACACTGCTAATGAATAAAATGCTAATAAAAACTCTCCACTTTGTAACTCGATACATCTAAAGGCATCCAAAGCGTTGAATGTCAACAAATTTAAAAGCGCATTTTCTGGATGGACCAAAGCTGAAATAATGTGACGATTAATAATTGGCTTGAGAAAGAATCCATGCCGTTTGAATTGTTAAATGGTCGTTTACGGTGAATATTTCATCGCATTAATAATTTGAGGATTCAAAATCACAACCATCACCATTGAAATTTTCACAATGAAATGAATTTAAAAATTTTCTCTTTCCTTGTTACAGCTTATCTCGATATACTTACAAATAGGATGATGGTCTCCTAAAATACTGTATATAGAAAATCCGGAAGGATATCCGACGCAAAGACGACCTTCCGCGAGGATCTGCAACGTTTGTACATGACAAGGCAGCATCAGTTCACGAACGCGTTTGTGTCGTTGTTTTGTACGCGTTATTTCGTATATGATGACTTGAGAAGCATTCTGAAAGCATCATCGGCGTTATAATAATCATTAAGTGTCGCTCATTCATAAATTAAAATTTTAATTAATCCCAATAACCCTTAAGTACCATCAAAATGAGTCACCTGTTTCTTAATAGCCACGCACAAGCAGTAAGTCAAGGGATTACGCCGCATGACGCCAGTCGTCAATGTTATACATCCCTTAGTCTCCGCGACCTTGATCCACTCGACCTCGTCGCCGTCCAAGGCGCGAACCGGCACCAGGCGTACGTGCCGCTGCTTACCACTAAGTACAACGATCAGCTGCTCTTCCGTTACATACTCTAAGAGGAATATTTTCTTACCCTCGCCGACCCTCGCAATCTCTGAGGAATAAAATCGCACAAAATGCGAGTGTATTATTAGGTAGATCAGTTGCACGAAGAGCAATTTCACAAAATATATGCTCAATAAGAGCTTGCGACTATACATAATGCCAAACGCTACATTTAATAATTAATTAAGGACGTTGATGAGCCAATAACGTAGCTACCATTAATTTTCATACAAATACTTTCGTATTATCAATTGATAAAAGCGCATGGGCACGGCTTTTTCATGATTTTAAGCGTTAATACGACGACAAACTTCTTCATAAACAAACATCTTAAAAGAGATTTTAAGGTGAATTTAACCGACGCTTGTGCCGAACGACTATTACGGATGTGACTGCTAGGAGATTATTAATGCATTATTAATTCGGAAAATTAAATTTATAAAAGCGAAAAGGTCGCTCGACGCGCTTTATTGTTAAAATGAATTGCCACTCGTATTTTACAATTTACGCATTTCCAACGTTGCAATAGGAATGCCACACTATCCTAGAATTCCAATTAAGTGCTCGTATTAAAAGCATAAAGTGTTGAATTATGTAATAATTTCTTACCACTACGATCTAAATCTAAACAAAACAGGCCTTCCTCGGTGCCAATGACTAGACGATCTGGATCGATAATTGCCCCTGACAGCACGTTTTTAATGACAATTAGCGACAACGTGTTGTCCAACAACTCTTTAGCACGAAACATCTTTATAGATAATAAGATAAAAAGGGTTAATAATTGTTATTCTGGTTTGTCAGCGAGAATGGCATATTAAATATGGCATTAAGTACGAGTAAGATAAATTATGATATCATACGGTAGTATTAGGGAGATTATTCCTTTTCAAAATCCGATGGAGTTCGCTCAAGGCCACTACCCATTTAGCTTTTTCGCTCTCGGTATCGGCAAGCATTAACGTGTGATTCCGCAAACCAGGTGGTTCCAACAATGATGTTGTTATCTAGTATACAAACATAATTTTATGAGAGCAATAATTTCTTTTCGTTTCCTTCTTATTTAACATAAACTACACTGTTTTCATTGACTCTTTTCGCACCTTCGCGCAAATTCGAATAATACACACACACACACACACACACACACACACACACACACACACACACACACACACACACAGAGAGAGAGAGAGAGAGAGAGAGAGAGAGAGAGAGAGATTAAGCCACAAATTCGACAATAATCTATGTAATTTATTATTGCGTAATCGTTAAAATAATACCGTTACAATGGTACGTAATACTGATAAATATTCCCAATGAATTAAAATGCAAATTACCAAGCTTACGACTTATCGTATGTCATAATCAAACATTTCAAATATCATCAACTGAATCATCAGTTCATTCATCGAAAATTTTAAATAAAAGTGCATTTAGCATTTATTACTCATAAAAGTATTGTGTAGTATACCCTTAGGGGTTAATCGACATAATTAATTGGATTTTTGGAGACGAAATAGAGCTTTGTTTTGTTTGTAATTGTTGTTTTTAATATTACAGACGAGTTAAAAATCCATTTGATTTGTAGCGTTATTTGTTGTTTTGCTGTTGCTTAGTTAAAAAAATAGTAATAAAATAATAATACATAAATAAACAAAAAATAAAAAAAAAATTAATAAACATACAAGAGTTGTGAGTTTTTTTTAATCCTCTTAGAAAGAAGATACCGTTGTTTTTAAAAAGTATTAATTACAGTTTTGCGTGAAAACTATTCAAGTATTTTCCTCCTTTCAAAGCTATTGCAAAACATATTTAATCATACAACATCTAAAGCTTGGATAAGAATTTTATCGATAAGAGATTTTGCGTTTGTAACATTATCTTGTAATCTGTGCAATTATTCTTGCCAAAAGCATATAATAATAATAACAATAATAATAACAATAATAACAATAATAACAATAACAATAACAATAACAATAACAATAATAACAATAATTATTAACAAGTATTACCGCAAGAGTAACAACAATATTTACTTATTAAAATTTATTATTATTATTATTATTATTATTATTATTATTATTATTATTATTATTATTATTAATTATTAAAATTCTTTCGTTATTTTCAAACATCGGCATTTTCTTACGACAATTATTCTTTATTCGAGAAGAGATAGTTGTTTCATTTATATCGCTGTCCTCGTGCGAAAGCATAATTTTACATTTCAGCCTACATTCGAGACCGTGAGAAGCCAGCCCATTGTAATGGCACACGCGATTCCCAATGAATGGCAAACAGAATCGAACGAGGATAGCGAGTGTCTCCGCGAGTCCGTTAAAATAAGCGTGCTGCTGTTGTGTAAAGTTTGGCGTGGTCGGGGGTTTGGAAGGTGGGGGATTGGGGGCGGAGCGGTACTTCCGTGAGGCTTACTACTTACCCTAAATATACACGGAATGTCCTTTTTGGTCGCGTGTATGACGTCGGAGTCGCGTACGGAGCTGACGCTGAACTCTTCGTCTCGCATGTCAAGTACCTGGGATACGTAGACCGACGGCATGGCATTGCGATCGGAGAGATCGTAGAGGAACAATTTGAAGTCACAGACAACCACAAACTGGCGCACCCAACCTTTCTTTACGCCGCCCATTTTTGGCACTTTGACGTAGCCCTCGTAGGCAGTGCCGATGCCACGAGTCGGGTCGATCCCCAGCGGTCGTTTTGCTGAACAAGCACATTAAACGGTTCGATCGATCAACTCGACCACACTCGAATCTCCCACTATATTTATCTTCAATTATTCGCTTTCAACGTTACTTTCCTTCGTCACATTAAATTAATAACTCATTAATAATTGCTGGCTTGAGCATATTTGCATGGCTCTAATGAATTGCTTCATCGTAAAATCATCGTAAGCTTATCATCGGATTCGTCATCGTCTCCCTTCGTTTATAAGTTTATAAGGCACGCGCGTTCCAGTAGTGGTAACAAGTGAATATTTTTCATTTTCAAGCAATCGACGTCGATTCCCTCGAACAACGCGATTTTTTTCATTACCGATTAACATTAAAATAATCTTTAAGATTTTTATTGTGAATATATGCTGTAATGTTGAAATTTTGTATCGCGAGTCATTCGGATAATTCATTAGATCAAAAGCATTATTTCACGCGATCTCTATCTATGGCAATTTATTTTGTTTTTAAACTTTGCTTTTAAATCATAAGAGATGACCCATAAATGTACGGCTACGACAAGATTTGCATCAAAATGAGTTTAAAAAAAAAAAAGTTAAAAAATGGATGTTTTATTTTATGTTTAATCCAAGCTAAGGCAATAATTGTAGGCGATAATTGCCATTATTACAATCACATCGAACATTCTATTTTATCATTATTTATTTTTCCTAAAATATCGTCGAGTGTAAGGGGGTGGTGAGCGGTGGAGAGACAGAGGTCGCAAAGACTTAATAAAGTGTATAACTGATAAGGTGAAATACGAGTGAAAATCGGTCGATCGGTTGGTCTTACTTTGATCGTGAGGAACTGGACAGACGGAGGGCACTTTGTCGCAACATTGCACGTGACAAGCGAAGCCGCAGACCTCGCAAACGACACCTTGCCTGATGACGCCAACCATGAGTGACGTGCAATGATTGCACTTGGTCGGCCCGGAGAATGTCCGCACCAGGAACTGATGCGACTTTGGCTTTGGCTGTAGATTTGTGTGACCTTGCGAGACTGCGGACGATTTGCTCAGGAGCTCGTGGGATAATGGAGAAGTCGGGTCCTGAATATACGGTTGTTTAATCAAATTGCCCGTTGCAATCGTTGATGAAAAGCAGACAGGAACTTTTAAACGCAGTGATTAAAGCGTTTGAAGGTTCCTGTAGATGTTATAATAATATTACTATCGCAATGTCGGCATTTGTATATTAACTGAATTTCACTTGATAAATCAACATTTGAGTTAATTTAAGGGCAACAATAATATCAAATATTTCCATTTCTTTACAATAGAATTACAGTTTTCGTGAAAAATAGTAGATTAATGTAGCGTTTAAAATTACAATCCATTCCGTTGTTTCAGTCAAAGACAATAATTTACATTTCTATTGTTTATCAAAATGTGGTTTTTATTATTATTATTAAGCCTAAAGTTCATAAGAAATTGATTTTATTTTCCACTAAACTACGCTCGATTATCATCCAAGTACATACGGTGTGCCAAAATCGTATAAAAAAAAAAAAAAAAAAAAAAAAACAAAAAAAAAAAAAAAAAAAAAAAAAAAAAAAAAAAAAAAAAAAAAAAAAAAAAAAAAAAAAATCTAAAATATTCCATGTTCATAAAAAAAGCTTCTGTGAATCTTTAAAAACTTTAATTTAAGTTTATAAAAGTTTACATAAGTATGCTACGTTATTCTACACAACGATGTTGCAGTACTCTTCTCTAGTTGATTAATTAATTACATTACGTAACAATGATAAGAGAGCGGAAATAAGTATTCTTAATTTCAAAAAGCGAATGAAACTTTTCGTTTACCAATGTGCGTGTTCCTACCACACGGACCCCACCCTTTGTAAAGCTAAAATTATGTAAAATCTACACAAGCTCGTCTTATCTAATAAATAATAAGGAAGAATTTTTTTTTTTTAAGCACAAAGGAGCTCAATTTAGCTTCTAGTCCGATTAAATTGCGATTCGGGGAAAACACAAAGTTTTGCCGGAGATGAATGCGCAACAGTTGCGATAATTGTAACAACCTTCTTCAGGATTTTACTCACGATGCTAAGTTCGGAGAGGTTGCTCTTGCTACTGGTTATGCTGGGCGCGCGGTTGTCCTCGATGTCGCCCTCGACGCTGTCAACGCTGCCGTGGCGTGCGTTACCCGCAGTCTCCTTGAGGAAATGCTCGAGATACGACATCTGCGAGGTCGGTCTCTCCAAAACTGAAATTACGAATGAAACATTGGCGATCTGATGTGGATTGGCTAAGGACTTTCGCGCGCGCATTTAAAGGAGCATGTCACAAAATTTTGTTAGGCAACATTTCTTTGGTAAATAAAGTACAAAAATTAATTAATTAAATAATTAAATGAATAGAATAAAATAAAAATAATAATAATAATAATAATAAAAAGAAGAGGAGAAGGAAGTGTTAGGCAAATATGTCCATTCGCATGTGGATCGAACGTATTTATCGAGGTTAACTTGCTTTTTTCGTATTTGAAAAAGTATTCTGTATTTTCATTGGCAATAGATTTATCAACACTAGGCTCTTTATAAATATTGGACCTACGAAACCACTCCACTGCAACTATGCCACATTTTTTTATTACTTATTAAATCATAAAACTTGGTCATTAACATAACAATTAGAGATTACTTTCTTTATTAATAAACAATTTTTTTTATTATTTTATTATTTTTTTTTTTTTTTTTTTTTTTTTTTTTTTTTTTTACAAGCCGAGAAAGTCCACTTGTAGGCCGAAAAAATACAAAAAATGTCTACATGCTGAATATCTAACTACAGAATATCGATGCTAAAAAAATTATTCAAAGCTAATTTAAGAAAATTTTTATTTAAAATGCTGTAAAGTATGTGGTCAATATTCTCCTAGATTATTAAAGAATATAAATTAATTTTCATTCAAGAATATATTATCATTTTTCTCGTTCTCTCTCTCTCTCTCTCTCTCTCTCTCTCTCTCTCTCTCTCTCTTAATGTTGGCATTACAATAATCAATCCCTTCGGTTGAAAGAAAATCATTTAATATCGATATTGTATCAATGTATTTGAATAATGTTTAGCCGTAAGACTTTAGAATAGTAAATAAGCAGTTCTCAGCAATAAAGCACAGCCTGTCGAGGTAATTTTTATATAAACAATTCTCTTATTAAAGATAATTACTAATAAATAATAATAATAATACTAATAAGATAATTAATAATTAATACGCTGCAAAATTTAATCGGACTTTTGAAAAACATACTCGAACAAAACCGCAAAAATAAATAAATAATAACATTGAATATTATTTTATAGAATAGTTGTATAAAATCATTTTTGTTGTTGTTGTTGTTTTTTAATTTTATATAAACTAAATAAATACAAGCTTTTGCTAAGTGTCATAAGAAATTATTAAAATTTTATGCTTTTAGATGCTTTACGAAACTTTGGCTCAATAAAACAAACATAAAATGGCAGAGATTTCCGCTTTACCAACCTTGATGATAGTACAAAAACAAATCGCGCTAAATTTATTTCACTTTTACCATTTTCGCGAAATAATTCGGATCGCGCAAACATATCGTCGTATCGTAAAAATTGATCTTCCCATTAATGGTCTAAAGTTTATACATTAGAATTATAATTAATATCTACCAAGTATTATCGAAAGCAAATGAAGACCTTTCAAAAAACCGTCTTAGCATGTTTCGAAATTGACTGTAAATATTTCTTGTAATGTAAAACTACATTAATATTGACTTTGGGCATTTGTATACAACTTCAAAAATAGTTTAATACCTAATGTATATATAAAATTGAAGTTTAATTCTTACATTTTACATGCATTCAGAAGGCAAATGGACATTTATTTTTAGTAATGTATAAGAAATTTTTACATTATAACCTATACAACAAGATTAAAACGTTAAATAATTCTATTTATGAAAATGCCAAATACTAGTGTAAATTTCTATGCTACATAATTTAATACTTGTTTCCATACATTAACCACCATTGTCGTCTTATGAATTTTCCTTTATTTTATAACAATGCGTTTTAATTTAATTAAACATTTATTATTAATATTAAATTCAAAATACTTTAATACAATCGTCTCTTGCAATAGAATAATTGATATCTTTAAATACATTTTCTTTTCTATTCTTACGTTTAGCTTTAAGAATTTTTATTATTTCCATTGCATAAGAAAGAGCTTTAATTAAATTCGCCTAATTTAGTTCATAATAACGTTTATATAAATGCATAAAATCATTGTACAGTCGATAATGTTAATGAATTACCGACTAAGCTGTAAAGAATAAAAATTGATTCTATTAAATTACACAATCCGCTTTATAAAAATTGTTTGAAATATTTACCAAACGATCGACTCTATCTTAATATAGGCAAATTCAAGAATACAAAAAAAAAAAAAAAAAAAAAAAAAAAAAAAAAAAAAAAAAATAATAATAATAATAAATCAATACTGTTCAGTTGGTAAGAACGAATTTCCTGGTAAGTTTGAGTAAATAAAAACAAAACTCTGGATGCAATAAATGCATAAATCAAAATGGAAAAGTCTATTTTTCGTTTAAAAAAGTTTTTGTTATTAAATCGTACATCGTCGTAACTGTGGATTGTAAAACAAATATAAATAAATACTATAGTAATATTTAAACGATTTAAACAACAAAACACAACAGAGCTATGTTTCGGTAAATGTTAATTAAACATTATCCGAAAGGAGTCAGTCAATAAAGGAAATTAGATTAAATTATTTAAAAGCTTATATCTAATGAAAATTTGTACCTCGGTTGTACATATGGCTTAAGAACAATTGTTAATAACATGCGAATTAAGCAAATCATGCAGGCATAAATCAAACCACGCACTCAACGCACACGCACGCACTCAACGCACACAAGCGCACGGAAATAATAAACGCATATAAAAAAAAAAAAAAAAAAAAAAAAAAAAAAAAAAAATAATAATAATAATATGTAATTCACACCTTTGACTTTCATCGTAAGATTCGGAATAAACATAATGGTATTCAGATGATGTCAAAAGTAAAGAAAAACGTTCGTCATTAAAGCTGTATGTAGAAATGTACATGTACAAAGAGTAATGACACAACTTAAGATCATTGCGTATATGGAAATTTTCTTATCCGTCGAGAATATACTGAAAACATAGCGCTCTACAAAATTATATTTTTATTTTTAGAGAATAGTTATTGCGAATGTCAACAAGTGAATATCTTCATTCAGTAGGAGAAAACACGGAATATGAATATCACGCAGCCAATGTCGAGTCGATAATAGTAAACAATGTTATATCAAATTAAAATTTTATGAAATTTTCTCACTATCATTAAAAGAGAAATTATTGAAATTTAATATTTTAAAAAAGGCTTATAATATTTTTATTCCAAATATATATCAATTATTTTGTTGTGATTAATTGACTGTGATAAATCTTTATATTAAGGATATTATTGAGTACGTTAAGCTGCTACATTTTTATGAATAAAAATTAAACAGTTATCAAATGTTATTTAAAATTAATTAATTTATTAATCTATACCATTAACTATTGACATATACTATTAACAATAAATATCATTATAATGTTAAATATGTTTGTAAATTGGTAATTTTATAATCATTTATTGATGTCTAACATAATTCTTGTCAATACGAATATTCAAATTTTACATGTCATAATCATATAACTGAATAGTTAAAAAACAACAACAACAACAAAAATTAAATGATTTAATAAAAATGCGAAAATTCGAAAATTTAATTCAGTCTATAAGATGCTTTATTAAATTGAATTTCTTGCTTAAATTAAACATATTATTTATATAGAATAGAGTAAACTCTAAATGTATTTGTAGATGTTTTTTGGTTTTGCATCCTCTGATGATTTTTGAAAACTATACTGTGCATTGTGAAAATGCTTTAGTGGATGATATCGGTTGATAAAGTGAAATAAATGATTTTAACACGATTAACATAAAACGGACAATTGCATATGGTAACAAAAAGAGAAAAAAAAAAAAAAAAAAAAAAAATACGAGATTAGTTGATAATCACGAAGCAAAAAGAGCGCTTGTAGCTAATATGCACACCTTAGGATATAATTAAGGATATCAAACAAGAATCAAAAGAAAAAAAGGAGTAAAAACGAAGTAGTTCACAAGCTGACATTCAATAAAGATGAAAAGAGTGAGATGAGAGGGAGGGGCAGAGAGAGAGAGAGAGAGAGAGAGAGAGAGAGAGAGAGAGAGAAGGAAGGAAGGAAGGAAGAAGGGAAGGTGTGTCGTGACATTGTCTGTTGGGATGATATGAAGAATTACCAGGCGACAATACGCAGCTGAGGGCAGCGTCAACAACAATATCGCCATGAGCATCATCATCATCATCATCATCAACAGCAAGCCTAGTTAATAAGCTACTAGAGGCTGCGGCAGCTCGACGACTAGCGGGGCAAAGACGCATTACTGTGGGGGCCCGGCCCTGGACGACGACGACGCGCTGGGGTTCGGCGACGGCTCTCGCCGTCTTCGCCGCCCTCGCCGCCACACACGGGAGATACAGTTGTGCGGCGACTCTATGCAGCTGGTCGGCTGTCACAAATACAGTTTGATGATGAGCAACAAGAGGCCCCAGACGCAGCTCGTTACGCCAATAAATAGAGGCACTTTGCAGTCTAGAAAATCAGAATTGGACACCACAAAACCGGACATTCTTTATTCAATCTATCTTACTTCTCTTTTCGTTGTCTGTGTGATTTATTTATTTTTTTTAATTTCTTTTATTTATGTATTTATTCGAAAGGACGCATACACACATCACACACGCTACTTTCCTATCGGCGTAGCTTATCCCTCTCTTCGGCATATTTATTCTTATTTCGTTTATTTTCTTTAGTATCTCTTAGTTGACTTTCTTTTTTGTTTTTTTGTTTTTTCGCTTGTTTTTATTTTAAACTTTAAACAAACAACTAATTTGAATCATCCACGATATTTTATAAGTAGACGATGATGACGAAGATGATTTCATTTTGTATATAGTATTGATACTCCGTATATTTAATTCAATTCAGTTTGGAACACATAAAAAAAAGAAAAAACATGAAAAAAAAAAGAATCGATTTTTCACACTCATACTTAAACATATAGAAATATTACTTTTAATAAATTTTGTTAATAATTAAGGGATTTTCCTATTTGATCATTCAAGTATACCATAGAATGTAAATAGATTTTATAAATATTCTTATCTTGTTGCGTTAGCATCGTATCGTTTGTATGATAAAAAAAAAAAAAAATAATAATAATAATATTCGCGTTCGTAATGAAAGAATGTGTTAAAACATGGCTGCTACCCATTCATTCGTGAATAAATGATATTATATAAGCAGCATTGAAGTAATTCAACGTTACAAATGAATGAAAAATAGAAAAATGATAAAAATCATACGGTTGCCAGGGGCATATTTTATTATGATTGAAAAACTTGGGTAATTTAAAAACATTTTACTATACTTAAAAATACTCATAATTTTAATGAAATTATTAAATAATATTTCAGAAATAAATATGCATTCAATGCTATGATGTAGTATTATCATTTTTCAATGAGAAAAGGCAATAATGCCGAATATAATTTTGAAATCAATCAATCTACAGAATAATTTTTAAGAAACTATCGCGTTACTTATCTATTACTTTAAATACCTTATTCAGTTATGTTTTTATTCGTGTTAATTAAATGTCCTTTATTATGGATTAATATTATAAAATATAACATTTTGTGTGTTAGAAACTGCTTAATTCTAGATATTTGTTTTTAAGAATCGTTTAGGAATATATATATATATATATATATATATATATATATATATATATTATATACAATATATATATATATATATATATATATATATATTGTATGTAATATTTTTAGTTTAGAGTAATGTAGTATTGCCAGAGACGTAAGTAGGAAATTTTTGTGAGTGTTTGATGCGAGTTAATTGTACTTAATATCGTTACTCCAATCAAGCACATTTCTATTTCTCTATGATTCTTTAAAAAGTTTAACGAAAACAAAAATATATACATATAAATAAATAAATAAATAAATTTATATATATATATATATATATATATATATATATATGTGTGTGTTTGAAAATTGATTTATGTACATTTTTAATATACATATATATATATATATATATATATATATATATTGATTCGAGAATGAACGAAAAATAATAATAAAATTTTTTTAATTTTTATGAATTACTTGGCAGTTATTTTAAAAAGTATTAGTAGTGAAGCGATAAACTCAGAAACTTTTCGCTTTGAAATTAATGGGCAAATAATTGTGATTGTCTCTCGATGTAACCTGACATAAGTCGTTAGAATCAGCTGTTGTTCCCATCATTTGTTACGTGCACAACGATAAAATGTAATATTTGCGGAATTTCATGAAGTTTGGAATGTGTGTTCGACGTCCATCTCTAAATGTACATGCTTGACCCTACAAAGCAACGTTCAATTGTTGTTCCTTTGATATAAATATGATATAAATTTATGATATGTAGGATGGCGATATATAATTCTTATGTATACTGGTCACTTATGATACTTAACGTAGAGTAACGGCATGCCTATAAAAGATTCGTCATAAAGTTCTAGAAAATTCTCAGTTAAAGTTTTTATAAAAGAATTTTTATTATTTCAAAAGTTCAATCTTATCACAGATAGTATAAGCAGTAAAATTATACACATGCGCGATTTCACGTTACCATTAGAGAAAAAAAAAAGAGAAAATAAAAATGAAATGACAAGGAAAGGAAAAAAAAAATAGTAAAAAAAAGAAAGAAAGAAAATAGGAGGAGAGAAAATAGAAAAAAAGAAAGAAATAAAAAAATAATCAAAACGAATAAAGTGAAAAAATATTTTAAACGAGATGCGAAAAGTTAGATCTTTATAGAATATATTAATTGAATAGTATAAACTTTTATGTACAAACGATCATCGCACAAATAGAATATAATCACAATAATAAATTAACATATTGTGTAACAGCACTTATAAATTAGTGTTCTTGGTAATAACAAAGATTAATTTACTCTATGTTAGATGTAACTTTCGCATTCCCTTAAACGTATACAATGTGTGTGTGTGTGTGTCATGAACGGCCCGGAAGAACAAGTGTATTCTCCGTATATAATAAAAGGCGAGAATATGAATCACTCAAACTACTACGCATACAGTTAAAAAACTAGCAAGTATAAATAAACTTTATGATTTTCACTTTTTTTCGTACATACACGGCGATCGATTAGCATTGAATTGGTAGCCATGCGTATATTTTATTCAAAAATAATATCTCACTATTACATCGATCGTCTTCATGTAAATCATGAAACAAAATGAAAAGTGTAAATAAAATATTAAATTCAAAGTGAAAAGAGAATATTAATTTTAATGAAAATGTATCATCATTTTCTGAATAGCCCATGGCATAGATTAAAGTGTTTACATACTACAAATACAGCGTGAATAATTGCAGCCTGTATAACTACTATGGATATGAATTTCCCGTAAGATTGGGATCGTACTACGATTGAAGGACTTTCATCGCTGCTACTACTGTCAATTGGTTGGTACTTACAGCCGTCACCGGAATCTAGGCGGCTCTGTAGCTCTTTTATCTGTATTTCCTTGCGCTTCATCTCGTGTGATATTGAGTCCAGACGCTGTCGTAAATCTCGCAGTTCTCTACAATTATCAATGAATGATTGGGGTTAATTTTATTGACAAACTATTCATGCGAAACTTAAATCTACCTTCCCATTATAAGATTATTTATTTAAATTCATTCGCCTGAATTTCTTATTTAAACATCTTGATTACATTTGAGCCAATATTTTAATGGAAAACCGCAAAAATTGGGAAAATTTTTATTTGCACGTTAATAAGAAGGGGAAGGAGGAAGGAGGAATTAACGAATAGTTTTTTTTTTTTTTTTTTTTTTTTAAATATGACCATGAAATAATAATTACGATTTAATTGCTCGAATAAATTATGTTAGGCGTTTATATCTATAAATTATATATGTAAAACTTGACGTCGTACGTATAAATGTATTAAAATTTATTTTCAAACTTTAATTTCATTTATTGCCAAAGTGTCATTGCTATTTACATTAAAGGCAAATGCAATTTAAAGTTCATTCGAACTTGTTAAATGTGTTATTATAAATTGCACTTTAATCGATTTAACGGCTATCATAATAATAAAATTTTTCAATTATTCATGTCGTTCATTCATCCGTTTTAAGGGATTATTTGTAATGAGTAATGAGTTTGTAATATTGCTTACAATAAGTAAAATGAGTCGACATTTAAGACGCTATTCGTTTGTAAAATGTTTATACCATATACTTGTCTGTTGCTTCATTAATTTTGTTATTTTTTAAACCATCAAATATTTTGCAAAGTAAATGAATATTATCTAGAATCAAGTATTTTATCATTTTAATTTTACTCATACAATAGACTTAATTTTAATGATCTTGGGAATTAACAAGAATTTTGTTTATCATTATAAGTGAATTTTTAAAAAATTGTTAACTAAGAGCTTTAATACAACTTTTGACATACTTTTGTGCTGCTATAAGATCCGAACGCGTTTTCGTAAGTTCCTCGGATATTGCTTGTTTGGCTTGAATTTCACTTTGCAACGAACTTTGTAGATTTAGTAGCTCCATTTTGTCAAGTTTTTGTGAACGACGATTTCGCCAGTTCTTGTCGGTGATCGTAGAGCCACTACCAACGCCTCCTGCGCCACCCGAATGCTTGAGGAATTCAAGTTCCTCTGTCATCTTTGTTGCTAGAGCCTGAAAAATAATACAAAAATTTTACATTCTAATATTCTATGCGAATGAAAGTTAAATTTCTTCTTATCTTACATATTTTTAATACTTTTATAAGCTTTTATAATAAATACATAAATAAATAAATATATATATATATATATATATATAAATATTTGGACAAACCTTTAGAAACCCTTTTAAAAATTTACAAATTAATTCAATCAAAATTTTCATTAGAATTAAGGATTATTTAGATAAATGATTATATAACGTGCTTGTGGCAAAGCAACCAAACAATAAATAGTAAAATAATTTTATTACTCTATAATGTAAAATTCTATTCTCATAAAGCATTTTATCTTCTCTAATAAACTGTAATACAATATGAAATAAAAAATTATTTATATTAAGTTAATGAATATGAATTGTTCTCTTTATGGTACATTTTTAAATGCATGTAATATTTTATAAATGTTGATTCCAATCATTAGTTCATAATACAATTATGAATATACAATATTTTTATAACTAAAAGTATATATATATATATCCGTAAGAAAATATGTAGTACAAAAATTAAAAGAATGGAAATACTTACACAAGTTTGACAAACATTTGTCATACGTAATTATAGAGATATGAGTTTTAAAATTAATTAAATGTGGCATATAAAAGTCATGTAGTTTTGTAAAGCTAATAATTTCAGTAATTAGTAATGAAAATTGGAATGAAAATTATTTATATGAAAAAGCTAGCGCGTAATTGTAGAAATATCGTCTTGTATAATTTACATAATGAAAATTGAGTTAATCAGTAGTAGTACATCCAATATTTATTTGCATCTATATATGTAGCTACAGTTGAATCTTAAATTTCATAAAATTTCATCAAATCTATTTTATGCATATAGCAATGAACAACTAATTTACCTAAAGAACACGCAAATTGTTGTATTAAACATTCTGCAGTTATATGAAATAATTATTAAACTTTATTAAAGTGTTAATAAAATTAAAATAGTTAAGATGCTTGTAATTATATTTGTATGCTTATTTGTCTGAAAACAATGTTTACCTGCAAATATCCTCTAGCGTCCTTTTCATCGGAAACCCATTGAATTATTTCGGTGATTTGAGCTTCCCATTGGGCAATGGCCTCTTTCTTATTTCGCAATTCTTCATATTCATCTTCGAGCTGGCGCCGCTCACCCTGTATTCGATTTACGCTATCCGTTACTGAACCTAACTCTAACAGCAGTTTTTTATTTTCTTCCACGAGCATCATCTTTTCACGCTCATGCCTACGACTTAGTTCATTTATCGTTTCTTCACTATCAGTAATGTTCTCCAATCGGGCGTTTTCCAATTTTTCCTTGGTTATTTGAACCTCGCGTTCAAGCAGCTCTCGTCTAGTTTCAGCCTCGTGAAGTTGTTCTTGCAGTCCACGTGCTTCCACATTGAACCTAATTGTATAAATAAGTATAAAGGATATATGCAATTTATAAAAGAAAACATTCGCCTTCATATTAATATCTTATTACATATTATAATTATATATTTAAGCATAACACAATATTTGGCATTTTAATCGCTTATTATTCTAATATTTTATCTCATTCATTAATGTAAAGTGTATACTAATATTTACTTTGTTGCCTCGATGCTGTAACAGCTGCTTTTGAAGAAAGAATCATTATTAATACTTTATAGTTAATATCGATTACTATTAATAAGGCTTTGATGAGTGCATAAACTATATATATATATATATATATATATATATATATATATATATATATATAATAAATATAAATGAAAATATTAAATAAAAGACTGAGATTGTCTCAAGACACTGTATCCGTATTTTAAAAATATTTTCTATTAATTTACGTGAATAATATGTATTTTTTTATTTATCCAATGGATTTATAATTACAAGTATCTAAATATGTGATCAATAAATAATCACTCACCTGTTTTGTTGTTGATTAAGGCTCTCGTTGTACTGAACCTCCAACTTCTCAACTTCCGCTTTGAGTCGATTAATCTCTTGGGTCGCGAGAGCGTGATTTGCACTGGTATCATTGCCAATTGAACGCTGTCGAATTTTCTCCGTTTCCTCCTGCATCTGCTTACAGTACTCCTCGCTTCGCTCACGCAATTTGCGTTCTTTACTCGTTTCAGCCATCGCCTCCTCTACTCTTCCCTCCAGCTCCCGTCGCAGCTTTTCGGCTTTGCGAATGTCATGGCGGAGACTGTCAACTTTTTGCATTACCACTTCAAGTTCTTCTTCTTTATCGCGAACTTGACGGGAGAGTTTTTGCTTCTGCTGGCGAAGTTCCGAAAGCTTATCCGTCACTTCAGTGTACTCTTCCATGGCTGATTTTACGATAACGAAAAAATAAATTTAATTAATTTTTCTTATTATTATGTTTTAATATCCTTGTAATAAATATATTCATATAATTAGCAATTTAAATATAATTGTTAGTATTTAATTGCAATTGTTCAATATTGGTATTAGATAAAAAGATGTATTTCATAAAAGTTTACAAGCAATATAAATCATTCAATATGATATTATAGATTTGAATATTCAAGTTAAATATAAAATATCCGTAATTACCTAATTTTCTTTGTCCTAAGGCATCCTTAAGTTCTTTGTCTTGAAGTTTTAACCTTTCTAAAGCATCCACTTTATCTTTTATGGCTTCGTCTTTTTCAACGCGAAGAGCACGCACCAATTTTTCTAATTCACGTATTTTAATTAAATCACCATTATCTATTGCACGCAATTCTCGAGGCACTTCAAGCGATTTTAATTGAGATTCTAATTCTAGAGGACATAAAAACGATATTTTTTAATTTATTAATCAATCTTCAGAACTTATTTCATTATTCATTACGAAATTAACTACAAATATTACATACCGCAATTTCTTTTTGTAAGTATATTGATTTCATCTTGAAGTTTTCTTGTAGCAATATTGGAATCTGGAGATATAGTTGGTGGAGTATGACTGGTACTCATTTGATTTTTTAATTCTGCAACGGTTTGTGCCAATTGTGCATTTTCTTCTTCTAGTATCTTTAAGTTTTTCTCTCTTTGAGTATAACATGGTAAAATACTCAAATCTGATATACAACTGTAAATAATATTGATACATTAATTTATTTATTAGTAAAATTTCATAGCAGGAAT